ATGGGATCACGAAGAGTCAGACGCAACTGAAAAACGACCGAACAAGCTGTGCTGAGTCAATGTAAGCACATTCTCTTCCATAAGCTTACAGTCTTGCTCTAAAGACACACATGAAAATGTGTATGTATGTGTGTGTATGTATTTCTACCTGATGTGAACAGTTAGGTACAAAATAGATAGTAGAGATTTTTTTAAAAACGGTAGAGGAAGGAAAGATTGCTATGAGTAGGGGAAGTAAAGAAAAGCTTCACAGAAGTTTAATCTGAACTCACCTTTGAAGAATGAATAACACTTAAAGAAATGAAAAGGGTAGGAGAAGAGGCATATTTCAAGGAGGAAGAATAGTGAGGGCAAAGGTGCAGAGGTCAGAAAGGCAGAAAAGGTATGCCTGGGGATGGCTGAGTAGGAAAGTTTTGGCTGGGGCTAGCATGGAAAGTTTTTGGGAGATAGGACTGGAAAAGTAGATTCATGCAGGGTCTTGAACACCTGGCTAAGGATTTTGGACTTCATTCTGCAGGCCATATGGAGCCATTTAAAGTTTGGGTTTTGGGTTCTTTTTAGTACAATCTACATAAAGGATAACAATAGAAAAGAAAGTGAGATGAGAGAACAGTGAAATGGGAGAAAAGGGTAAAAACTTCAGGTATACAACAGTAAAGAACAGCTAAGTCCAAGCAGCAAAAAGCAGAGTGCAATATTATAAATAATGAGCAACTAATTAGTTCTGACTCTTCACTGACTGCTTAGGTGACCTCTGGCAAACCTCTAAAGTGCTCCAAAACTAAGTGTCCCTAGCTATAAAATGGGGATAATTATACCTGCCTACCCTCTCTCCCAGGGTTGCAGAGGATAAGTTTAACTAAGGACATATGAAAGTGCTTTGAAGAGTATATAAATCATTATACAAATGCCAGGCAGGGTGATTGTTATCACAAACTCATCTCCTGAGACTCACCTCCTCTGGCTAAGCTTATCTGACTTCACAGGGTATCCAGTAACCTTGGGACTGCAGTCACTGAAAATAATCCACTCAGCCCCAGCATCCAGAGCAAAGCTGATGCTATTCAGTCAGTTTCCAAGTTCTTAGTAACCCTAATTTTAGCTGACTCAGACTCTGAAAGCTTCAGTATGAGAAAATAGAGATGGAGATAAGACTGGAGCTGTCACCTCAGGCCATCAACAAAAAAAAAGAGTCCCAATTTGGGGCCCTTGCCATCAATGGTGGCAGCCAAACCAAACAGCATTTTAGCCAATTAATTTCTTTCTGATTTCATAAGCTGCTCATTAAGAACTGGAAGTGGATCACAAAAGGAAAGGAGCAGCTGGAGACAATGCACAGGGGTGATCTTGGAAAGCAGGCAATTTCAAAATGGAAAGCCAGCATTCCAAAACTAATCCATGCTCCCAAGGCCAGTGCCTACCCTAATATGGCCACTGGCACTCCTTTGGACCTCCCTCATAATCCTACAGGATCATAGCCTTGGTCCTCACACTCATCAGACCACTCTACCCCTGGAACCTCTCTAAAAGGAAGGTAGAAAGTACAGAGCTCCTCCCAAAACTTCCATTTAAGCAGGATGCTCAGACCAACCAACTCTTTATTTCCCACCCCTCTGACCACTCCTTTGGATTTCTCCAACATGCCCCTACACCAGGTGCCTTATCTCCCTTTTTTATGTTGTCTTTCCCATTAGAGTGTAGGCTCCTTGAGGGCAGGGACTGTCTTTCTTTTTCACATTTATATCCTCAGCACTTAGCATGGTACCTGGCACAGAGCAGGTGCTTCATAAGTGTTTACTCACTGACTAACAATGGATCTGGGAAGATGGGGCCACTTAATCCCACATTTCTCCCAAAGATAGCATGGGAAAGTTAGTCAAACGCTTTGCTGCAGTCAAAGTATACTATGAATACTTAGTATATATACTTTCTGCATACTATTATACTGTGCATGATTCCCATGACCTGGGAAAAAAAGAAATCAGGTTCATTTAGCATGACTCGCTCTCAGGTGATCGCTGCTTCCCTTTCTAAGAGCTCACAAACTATACCTTTTAATAATTCGCTTTAGGATTTTTCCAGGAATAGAATTTCAGCTCTTCATCAATCAAATCAATCATTAAGCATTTATTAAGTACTTTATTATATGCCAGGCACTCTGCTACTATCTTCATGCTGAGAATACAAATAGCATCAACTATAGTTTGCAGAATCCACCTTTTTCTAGACTTTCTCTTGTTCTCCAGTACCTTTCAAAGAAAACTAATCATGGTTCAGTCACATCTGCCAATTCCCTAAGTGCACTAGGAGGGAATTCATCTGGGCCTGGAGACATGATACACTAATGACATCTTACCAGTATACAGCACTTGGACAGTGGTAGATAGAGGCATCTAGATGCCATCGTAGATAGAATGCGAGGCCTAGAGTCAGGAAAATCTGAATTCAAATATAGACTTAGCCACTAACTAGCTATATGACCCTGGTCAAGTGCCCTTACCTCTGTCTGCTTCAAATTCCTCAACTATAAAATGGGGATAATAATAGCACCTACTTCACAGGGTTGTCGTGAGGTTCAAATGAGATATTTGTAGAAATGTGTAGCACAGCTCCTGGCACATAGTAGGTGCTTAATAAATGTTCTTTGCCTCCCTTCCCTGCCTTACCATTTATTTTCCTTATCTTCTAGGTTCTATCTGGGCTCCCAAGAAGCCCAGGGAAAGGAGGAATAAATGAATACTGACTAAAATACATGGCCTGATCAGAGTAAAAATTCATCATTTCTTTTGATAATGATCATTACACATGAATTTTATAATAATTTAAAAAAAACTAATGCTATCTATTTCCATTCTATTTCAAGTGTTGGGGTGACAAAGCTTCACTAGTGTCCAATTCAAGGCCAGCGTGAGTTAAAGAACCCCTTGGCCCTACTCTCTCATATAATGAATCCTAGAATATTTGCCACCTTGCTGAGGACATTAAGAATGTAGTCAATGATAGATTATGGCTTGTTCAAGTGTCTGGGTTTCCAACTGAAAGGAGCTCCAAGTATTCACCAGAAGGAAAAGGTTAGTTAGTTGATTATTGTCCTTCATTCTTGAAGAGGACCAAAACATCACTATCTTGGGGTCAAGGTGCAATGGGTCTGACTGTGGCTGAGCCAACCATGATCTCAGCGAAATACGATCTCAGAAGGCTCTACCACAGGTCAGGCACAAATAGTCCATGTGAACATTTGGAGTGAAGATGACTCTAAACTGGTGCAGCCCATGCTTCGTTTGAGCTACTGCCATTCTGCTTTACTCAAGGGCACAGCACCTTCTTTGATGTAAGTACACCATGCTAGGCAATCCTGTGCCAGTGTCCCCCATGTTTCTCAAGTGACTCCACATTTCTGCAGAGAGACCTTAAGAGTGTCCCTGTATCACTTCTTCTCACCTCAATGTGACCTTCATGACCTCCATGAGAAGGAAAGAGTGGGAGGCAGGAGAAACAGCAATCATTCAGTTTTCAATGAACAGCTCACTGACATTTGATGAACAATGAATGGCAGGAAGGAAGAATAGCATCATGTCAAATGTGGAGGAAATAGCACCATAGGCTATTAGGGATCATGAAGGACTTTCTAATATTTTGGCAACTAAAAATATTGCTTCTTTGAAGAAGTGGAAAGAAATAGCAATTTCACTGAGTCTGTTCTTTGTGGAACCCTGAATACATCCCTCCAAGTTCCCTGGAACCTTGAAAAAACAAGTGCAGGAGAAAAAAAAAAAGACTTCAGAATCCCAAGAAAATGGTAAAGTGAGAGCTTGCCCCTTCAATATTCTTCTCAAAAACAGCAATAGAAGGGGCAGCTTGATGGTGCGGTGGATGGAGCACCGGTCCTGGATTCAGGAGGACCTGAGTTCAAATCCAGCCTCAGACACATAACACTTACTAGCTGTGTGACCCTAGGTAAGTCACTTAACCCCATTGCCTAACCAAAAAAAAAAAAGCAATAGAAATCCCTCCAAAGAAGCAAAACTGTTACAAGTCCTGAAAGAAAACTAGGAAACACTCAAAAGAAGGAAGGGGAAAAAAAGATCTCCAACAAAATGAAGAGAACACAGAACATTTTTACTGAGGATTTTTGGTTGTACAGTCATGTCCCTATGCACACACACTGTTTAGATATGACACATCTTGGGGGACCAAAAACTGAATCTTTGGTAAGGCAAAATCCTGACTGCACTTGTGGTGTACCACATTTGTCTGCTCCCAACATGGGTGGCAGCAGCAGCAGCAGCAGTGAAATATTGACTGCCAAAAAATGGCTGGAAATGGAGAGGAGAAGGGAGGGTGTGTGAAATTAGGGACTTTTATCAGGCAGCATGAAATAAATGGATTGAAAATGAAGAATTATGTCTTTTTATTCTCCTACTTAACACTCAATTAAATATCTGTCCATAAGTGAAATTCATATCAATAGAATGGATCTACAAAAATGAAACACATCTTTTGCCACCTGTGTTTTCCATTCAAGTTACAAAATGTTGTGAAAGACTGAGTATAAACCTGCCTTGATCCCATGGCCAATCTTGGTCACTAAGAAGGCTTCTCCTCTAAGAAAATGGGCTCTTTGAATGAACACATCTCTTAAAATGGGATAAGTCTAGCGTGAATTTTTCCACTACTACAAAGGACATATGAAGAATTTCTTAGCTACAGTGACAAATTGTAGCCTAACCCTTAAGCAATGTCTCTTTTTCTTTGGGCCATTGAATCAAAAAGTAATCAAGAGAATGTGAATGCTACAAAGTAAACTTCTATTTTAACCAAGTCCAAATATCTACTAACAGATAGTGATTCATTTGTCCCTGAAGCTATCTTTCCTGGAACCTAATGATGGCACCTGCATTACAGACAAGGGAGAAGCCAAGAGTGTTGAACCTCCAATCCTAGCAGAAAATATTCTATTCCACATTTCCGACATGACCCCTGATCTCCACAGCACTTACCCGGATCCTTCTCATGGCAGCTACAATCTCCACCCTGCTGTTCGGTCTTGGCACATCCAGGCTTCCGATATACTGCAATGAAGAACATGCATGTTAAGAGAAAGTGTTGCCATTACCAAAGGAACCCAGACAGAATCATAAATTCAGAGCTGGAAGAAATCACAGGCTGAGAGACAGTCTTAGCCCAAGAGGGTAGCACTAAGAATGATGGATGAAAGATGCAAAGAGATAGTCATGTAAGGAAAAAAAACTAACAATTTAGCACTGCTCCAAAGAAGAATGGGCTTCCTAGTGGTGTTCTGTCATATTAGAAGCCCCTAAGCAAAGGCTATATAACTACTAGTCACGAACATCACAGAAGGGATTCTCAGCCAGGTGTGGATTAGATGGCCTGATTCACGTTACAGTGGAAAGAACAATAGATCTGGAGTCTAAGGACCTAGGTTCAAAATCCCACTCCTGATGTTGACAATCTATATAACCTCAAGAAACTAAGTCTCCTAATGCTTCTGGGCCTCAGTTTTCTCATCTGTAAAATGGGGAGGGGAAGATTGACTTGGGGTTGTTCAGTTGTGTCCAACTCTTTGTGACCAGAATACTTGGCAGACACTGCAGTGGTTTGCCATTTCCTTCTCCAGTTTATTTTACAAATGAGGAAACTGAGGCAAACAGGATTAAGTGATTTGCCCAGGGTCACATAGCTAGTAAAGGCTGGATTTGAACTCAGGTCTTCCTGACTCCAGGTCAGGTACTCTATCTACTGTGCCACCGAGTTCTCCTCCAGCTCAAGATCTATGACCCCATGATGCAGTGCAACCCCTTAGTTCACAGTTGAAGACAGGGAAATCCATAGACTAACCCAAGATCTCCAGGACTCAATTTTAGAATTCCAACCCTAAATCCACAACTCTTTTTGCATCTTCAGGATGATTTATGCCAAATAATTCATTTTACAGATTAGGAAATAGAAGTCCTGGGAATTGTTTAAAGACAGCAATTTATCAAGGTATAATCAGAGCCTGTCCTATACACTTTATTTCACACTACAAATTTTATGTTTATGTGGTTTTAAAATGAATAGAACTCTCTGAGGCTTTACCTCATATTCAGCAAATTGGCTAAATTGACAGAAGACAGGAATAGTCAATGTTGGAATGGTTGTGGTAAGATAGGTACGGTTTGCACATTGTGGGTGGAGCTATGAATTAGTATAACCATCTTGGAAAGCAATTTGGAATTATGCAAATAAAGTGCCTAAAATGTCTAGACCCTTTGACCCAGAGATCCAACTGCTAGGCATATATCCCAAGAAGGTCATTGATAAAAAGTCCCCACATACACATATAGAGCACTTTTTTGTGATAGCCAAGAACTGGAAACAATGTGCATTGACTAGGGAAAGGCTAAACAAATTATGGCACATGAATATAACAAAATATTACTGTGCTATTAAGAAAAGGTGAATTTGATGAATAAAGAGAAGCAGGGGAAATTTTATACAAACTAATGCAAAATGAAGTAAGCAGAGTCAAGAAAAAAATAAACACAATGACTCCAACAATGTAAATGGAAAGAACTACCACAAAACAATCAAAAATTCATGTTGTAAAAATACAAAACAACAAGCTTGGCCCCAAAGAAGAGATATAAGACACATTCCTTGTTGTACGTACCCACGTAGTCTCTCTATCCCAATAAATACAGGGAAAACTCAAATCCCCTAAGTCACTCTGTCAGAGTATGACCAGAAGGAATAGCCAAAAGCAGGGAATTTGAATATCAACTGGCCTCCAATTCCATCGGAGTCTTCCTCTGCCCCTTCCCCACAACTAGCATGAATTAACGCCAGTCACCAGATCCAGAATCGATTAGGATTGATGCAGCCTACGAAGAAGGGCCAGCTAGGTGGAGCAGTGGATGGAGCAAGCTGGGAGGCAGTCACACTCATCTTCCAGATGAATCTGGCCTCTGACATTTACTTAACCCTGTTTGCCTCAGTTTTCTCACCTGTAACATAAGCTGGAGAAAGAAATGGCAAACCACTCTAGTCTCTCTATCAAGAAAACTTCAAAGAGAGTCATGAAGAGTAAGATATGACTGAAAAGTGATTGAAAAGCAACAAAAAAATGAAGAAGATGAAGATGAAGATCCAGGCTCCTCACTCCCTTCCCCCAATGCCTGCTTCTACTCAACCTAGATAAGAATCCCATTAAAAAACAACAACAACAACAACAACAAACCAACCACTAGACTGTCCTGGAACCCCATCTGGAACCCCAACAGTATTCCCAATTCCACCTGGGCCCCAGCAAACCTGATCTATTTCTACCATTCTCTGTGACTGCCTTTCAAATTGTTAAGTATGTCCCCTTAATAAGGTTAGTTTGATTATTGTCTTGTGTGCTCCATGTTTCTTTGTACTAGACTACTAGTGTAGGGGAAGGGAAAAGTCAACAGGCATGGGAGGGGGGAGGGATTCTTTTTTTTTCTCTTAAAAATTATTATATGGGATGACTTTCTGGAAGAGAGGAAGGAGAGAAGTAGAGGGAAAATTTTAGGTGATACAAAAACAAAAAATGTCAATATAAATTTATTTTTAAAAACAAAATGAATAAAACTGGAATTGTATCTAGATTCTTAGGCATCAAGAAATTGGAACATTATGCTGCCTATGGGTAGGGAAAATGGACTAGAAGACTTGTTTAGAATCAGTTAGGATCGATGCAGCCTCGGAAGAAGATGTAGCATAGCTTGAGGGTACTCTCTTTTATTTTGAGAGACATAGTTTATGTTAAATAACTTGGGGAGATGGCACAGATATAGCAAGCCTCCAAGATAAATATAAGCACTTCCATGCAACTCCTTACATCACAAAAGGAGGAAGCCACATCTCATGGAAGGATGATTTTATAGTTGTCCCAACACTAGGGTGTCCTTTCTAAAATCCTAACTTGGGCTGGCCCACAGCCAGACAGAAAAGATCTCACAGTATAAACACTATGTGATAAAGTGTAGTGCCCTGACAAGAACTAGACTTGGAATCAAAACACCACATAGTTTTAAAGCTATTAACTCTGTATGACCTCAGACAAGTCACTTAACCTCTCTAGGCTCCAGTCTGCTCATTTATAAAAGGAAGGGATGGGCTGGAACCAATTATATTGAAATACAGTTATCAATATATTTCACACACACACACACACACACACACACACACACACACACACACACACACGTTCTCAAGACTCCCCCAGTTAAGAACCCTGGTGCTTGAGGAGACCTTTCAGCTCTTACAATCTATCATTCTCTGAATACTGATCAGTCATTTGAACCAGAGCACCTGATTCGCATTCAATTCAACAAGCATATATTAAGTAACTAATGGGCTGAGCACTATAATAGGTCCTGAGAATACAAAGACAAAAGCAAAAGAGATTAGCTATATAAGCATCTACCATTTTTTCAACTCAGATTAGGAGGGTCTACTGCCATGTGTGGCAAATGTCTATCTGAGAAAGCAGCCTAGGTTGCTAAGCATGTTATGGCCATTACCAAGTCCTCCAGAAATAAACAATTTTGTCTAAAATCAAATCAATATGAAGCATGTGATAATTTCTCAGCTGACAGAGTATTCCAGACTCACAGAATCAGAAGGCATCTTAGAGGTCATCTGGTCCAACTCATGCCAGGATAGGAATTCTCTCGACAAATATTGATCATAGTCATTCTTTCATTGACAACCTCCAGAAAGAGGGAACTCACTACCTTAGGAGGCAAACCCGTACACTTTTTGGATAGAAAATTATCTCTTACCTGACGTCAAAATGTGCCTTCCTGTAATTACTCCTACTTCTATTCTCAGGGGCCTAGCAAAACAGGACAACCATTCAATTATTTAAGGACAGTTACCAAATACTCCTCTCATCCCTAATCTTGTTTTCTCTAGGCTTAAACATTCCCAGTGCCTTCAATCACTTACTTTGGAACATAGCTTGGTGTCCCCTCACACCCTGATTGCCCTCCTGAGTAAAAAATTGGGATATAAAGCAATGGGAAGTACTGGATCTATCAGACCTATCTCCTGATGGTCTTTCTCCTTTCTGAATACCAATGGGGGTTACAAAATCTGTCAATATTTCATGACCCATAACACAGTTGGGTTGACCTGACTCCAGGAAGGAAGCAAGGTCTTTGGCCAAGTTTCATCAGATTTACAGTGGCTGAGCTACATAGATCCCTCTAGCCCTGGGGCATTCTCTTACTCTTTCCCTTGGACAGCCACATACCTGGTGACCATTCTCCATGGCCACCTGGTCATTAGGAGTTCATGTTTCCTCAGCAGTGGCATCATGTCTCCAAAAGGCAATACCATGAATAAACAATCCCAAGAAGCAGGTGGAGAGCCTCAGGGGAAAAAAAAATGCTGGAGGACTGAGTGCGAGATCCCAGGCAGTCAGTGAAAAGTAAAGAGGTATGTTTCTGAATATATCAGACAGGAATGCTCCATAAACTGGGAATTTCACTTAATTTGCCCCACCAAAATCCATTATCTTCCTTCCCATGAAGGGCTACTACTGCTTTACACAGAATACCCACAAAGGGATTTATAGGGAGCACACCAAAGGCAAAGAGAGAGAAAAATAAAAAAACTTTCAGCATTGGCCAGCTCTTTCCCAAAGAGATACACACAGGAATTTAGGTACTAAAGAGAAGACAGAAGACACAGGTATAAAACCCTAGAAGCCTATGAGATTAACTGGCCTTCTCTCCATCACTTGAACACACACAAACACCCATACCCATGCAGACACACCACCACGAACTCCTTTTCGAAAGGATGATTCTGCCAGGCACTGTAGAAGAGAACAGAGCCAATACTAAGAAATTTGCAAAAGATGTGGGGGGAACAACTTACTAGAGGGAGGGAGGGTGGGAACACTGGGTGGTTTCTATACTACCAAAGGATGCTGCTGCTAGAAAGATTAGATGGGCCCCTCTGCCCTCTACCTGTCAACACACTAGAGCAAAGCCCTGATCATCTGGCCCTAGTCACATTTGTGAAGGAAAGTACT